AAATGAAAGCTTGTGTTCTAGATGGGTTAACTAATTTCGACTTACTTGGTTTGATCTCACAATCATTACATGGTATTTGGAACACTATATTGTTTTGTATAACTAGGTCACTTCAGTTTTTAAGTCGACAGAATTTGCCTTTGAGTGAATTCAACTCAAATTTGCTTACTATCTTTAAGCATCATAAAAGACACTTTCTAACAACAGTATTGTCCAGACATAATTGCAGGACGCTGTGTTCAAAACTGAAACATTCATTTCTTTTGAAAACTATGCATTCCAATTACTAATCTAAACTATTTTAACTTTTTAGGGTTCTGAAATCTATCGTTTCCCTGAAATAATACCACAGGAAGATGAAAGCGATGACAATGACAAGTACTGCATCAGTGAGACACAAGAGATCTGGTAAATTCGATGACAGCTTTGGCTTAGAAAAGTAGCGTTTAACTGTTCATACAAAAAATAAAAGAGGAAACTGTTACCGACTACTCTATGAATTCTGTTATTCCGAAGTACATTATTCGAACGGAAAAAATCTCGACGCGGTTAGGAAGAGACATGTTACTGATAAGTGAATCTAAAGACATTTCTTCTGAGTTATTCACAAGAAAATTTGATATAGTAGCCACTTGAGTATTCATTATAAGAAATATTAAAGTAGAACATCATAGATCTTATAGTTGGAAATCGTAATGTAGAATAATATCTATCTCATTTTTAAGTAGATCAGCACTCATCCGTGCAGTCGAACCTCTTGAAGTTGTCGACAAGTTCGTGTGAGTGCTGGCAAAGGTGTGACGTTCGAGATCTCTAACCGTATAGTGGGAGCTAAGGTGGCATATGCCAATTTCGGCCACTATCAGCCTGGCTGTCAAAGGTTGGGTGTAGAACGCCTTGGTGCGTGCTGTCGTGCTGTATGCCTATGTAGCTTGGGCTCTACGAGATGAAGATTTGCAGCGATTCTGTGTATTCGATTATCGCTGTCGCCGTAGAATTGATTGGGTCCGACGGCATTATCGCCTGAGTAATTCTGCTGTTCAACAGCGTGTATTTGGACACAGTGGAAATCACCAAACGTTTAGTGTCATCATCTAAACATGTGCTGCGAATGTCATCCCAGAGGCTTCCGTACCCATTTCCTTTTGCTTGTCCTGAGACTGGATGGGAAAATCCGAGGTGGTCAGCCTATGACGTGGTGTCGTGGGCTGAATGATAATAGTGTTAAATCAGAATCAGTTGGTATATCAGGACTCTCTGGTCGAAGTCCGAGTGATAGTTCGAATCGTAAACTTGAAACGCCCTCAGATATGGTCAAAGATCGCAACCAATGGAAAACTTCCCTCCTTCTTTCTTTCGTTTCTGAAATTACCTTGATGTAAAGATCTTGACAAATATGTTTGCTTGCATTCTGGAAGACGTCCCATACTTACTCTCTGCCTATATTTTACATATTGTCATTTTATTATTGCACCCATATTGTGTGAAGTTCGTGTTTTAAATAATAAGTAAATAAATCATTCTGCATTTCTTCAAAATCCTGTTATAAACACTTACGCTTTTATTGCCGTCCTCTTGGTGTTAATTCGTAAATACTTCAGGACAGCTGCAGTTCGTCTTTGAAACAACTTTCACAAAGAGTAACAGTTATGTGAACCATGACAAAGCAACAATGCAAGATTACAGTCGACTAATTCACTGAGATTTTGAATTAGCATTGCGTGAGATGTGCGTAATAAAGTACTGGCTAAAGCAAATCTGTAAGCAATAAGGAAATCGGGAGATTTCTAAGTTATGTGAAATACTGACATTGAGTTAAAACACTTCCTGCTAAAGCTGTCTGCCGCTCATTATTATTCATTGTTTTGAGGTATTTTTTACTGTAATTTTTGCAAAGTTACAATTTTCAAGCTAATTTACCCAAGGCTATGAGGTACATCGGTGTGTGACGACTTCAGCTCCTTGAAGTGCATTAGGAGCCGAACTTACGCAGAGGTGTGAGAGCTTAAGCAAAGTTGTCATCTGAAGTGATGACAACCAGTGGTGTCCGTCAGGGATGTTCACTGTCCCTTTTTCTGTTTAATTTCAACCCTAACTGCTGACTTCAGCGACTCTGAGATTGACTTGTTAGCATCAGGGAGTAATCTCGTTGACTTGGAATATGCAGATGATATAGCCCTGCTCCTAGGTGAAGACGCTGACAAAATGTAGTCTTCTGAACACCTAGAGCAGCAATCTTCGAATGGTTGGCATGAGATTCGCCCCCGTCAAATGTAAGATGATGGTGCAGAACTGGGCTCAACCGACTCTTAGCTTAAAGACAGGGAGTGAAGTGGTAGAGCGTGTTGACCACCTCACTTATTTGAGAAGTTATATCAGTCCCAATGAACAGATTGGTGACGAAATCTCAGCAAGGATACGCCCTCTCTGGCGTACACGTGATATCTGGCTATCGATCAAGGGGTGTGTGCACTGCTCAGCAGTTCATTACGTCCTTCTTTATGGCTGTGAGGCATGGCCATTGAAACTGGAAGACATGAAAAGCCTGGCTAGATGTCTTTGATCATATGTACCTGCGTTCTATCTCTCGTGTTAGGTGGTATAATAGGGTGAGCAATATTGAGGTTAGGCGTCGGTCGAGTGCTAGGTAAGGAGGGGAAATTAATCGACGAGGTTGTGAAGTTACACCGATTGGGATGGATAGGATATGTGTTACGGATGCCTAGCCGTCGTCTTCCCCAACGGATGATGTTAGCTGACATAAGATCAGGTTGGAAAAGAGCTAGTGGTGGTCAAACTAAAGCATATCTTCCTCAGTCAATTAAATCCACAATAGTTAGTGTAAGTAACGACGGGAGGTGTAAACTTCCCGGCTGGGGTCCTAGGGAGGGTAAAAACCAATGGCTGGAGACAATTTGTAATGTAGCTCAAAATTGTTGTCAATGGCGCAGATGCATTCACTGTCTATGATTTATAATACCCAACAAAATTCTATTGTTCTTCCATATCATTATTCTTTCTGAGTCACATTTATGTTTATTATCTCTGTTTTGAATTTGTCTTCTCTTGCTTTGTGCGCTACATGGAGTGTGACAACTAAAACTGCTACACTTCTCTCTAAAGTTCTAAGTTGAAACCAATCAGTCGTCTACATAGCGATGAACAGCAATTGTCACCTGATAATGCTGATGATACTACTCTGTTGCCTAAACTGAAATACTTTTTTTTTTAATTTTTTCATTTACAGCTTGATTCCACACCGTATTTTCAGTACAGGTATGGAATTTTCAGCATGGATATCGGTTAGCCCAAATTCAGGCCTACCATAGATATCGGGTGTGCGCCGGCAGGGGATCGAACCCCGGACCATGTGCATGGTCGGCGAGAGTCCTAACCACTGTGCCACCGACGCGCATAAATAGGCCTTTGACAGCCTGGAAAAATTGCATCTGACGACGATATTTCACGCCATCAGTGCGGGGTATTGGGAGTAGTTTTCAACTAGCAATAACCGCGCCTCAGATAAACTTCATTGGCTACGGTACCGCCACTGCGCTGGACGAGATCCAAATCTGTGGCCCATTGGCTTAGCCACATGAACTGAAGACGCTACTAGCGAAGTATTCAGCTAGATACAACTACCTAAGCGGAGTGTCACACCTCTCCGTATCTTATGTCACCTAAAAAGAACTAAATAATTAGAATTTAAGATTGAAAATAAGACCATCGTCCCTTTCAAGAAGTAGCAACAGAAATATATACATTGGATAACACAACTATCACCTACAACACACTGCTTCCTTTTCAAAGAAGAAAAATAATCAAAACAAACGTTGAACCTAAAACAGTGAATTATATCACGTGTCAACACGTTAATAAACTGTGATGCCAACGACAGCAACTGAGCAAAGACCACCACCCACTGAGTATGCAATACATATTATAAACGTAAATAAAATGAATCGAAATAAGATGAAATAATTTATTTTTCAATAAACAGGAGTAAATGAAGTTCAACCTAAACACAGAATTACTCTCGCGAAAACACACACACATACACAGAAATGCCATAAAGACTCAGGATTGATTAACTATTGTATACTTGTGTGTTCAATACGACTACCACTACTATTAATACTGTTTAAAATAATAACGCAGATATGTCACATCAAATGAACAACTCTGAAGAAGTTTATTATTTCGAAGTATGAAGCTTTTTAAAAATTTGAGCATAATATGGCAATGTTCAGACGGAAAACAGGCTCTCAACAATAAATAATATGAGAAATGAAGAAAGAATTACGCGACATACGGACGGATTTCACATATAAATGCCAATAAATTAACAATAATTTAAATGAGTAGTTTACGAAACTTTTCTATAAACGGTAATACCACCATGTGCAAAGTTGTATTCTTTTCTTATGTGAAAAAAAAGAGAATGGCCAGGATACACACACCTTTAATAACAACTGTGAATCCGCAATATCATGGAACGAAATAAACTAAGGGGAGAAAATGTGGAACTTTACACTGTTTATAAGTAATGAATAATAATAATAATAATATCACCACAGCCAAATAGGGGGAAAAATGTGTATCATTTGTTTCTAATATGAAATGATACAAAATAGGGGGTACACTGAAAGATTGATGGCACTAAATGAAATGAAATGTGTAAATCATTCAGAGGAGCAAATGGAACCACGTTCAACAAATGTGTGAATGCTTCCCGTATTGTTTTAGGTGTTTTTTTTTATTAGAAAACGAATACAGAATGAGGTGAAAAACAAACAAACAAACAAAAAAATAATTGCTCGAAACTATTGAGTGGTTTCTTAATAAACTCTAAGATGTCATGGAAATTATATTCAATAGTCTTCACGCAAATTACGAACATTGTGACAAATGCTAAAAATTCTATTCTGTACTATAAGTACTTTTTCTGGAATAAAGTAGATTATTATTATTATCAGGATGAATGCGAGAGGAAATAATCATCAGGCACGGTGAAATGAACGATGTTGTACACAATCTCGATGCGCAGGTAGATTATCACGTTGACCAGCTGCTTCTATCGCTGATGAAGAAGGTGGAACCACAGCTGATGGGGTGGTGGTGGTAGTGTTAACTCTGTCCGACTGAACAGTATCATCAGATGTAGTATCGGGAAAAGATGATAAATTTAAGTCGGGCATTAAATCGTAGTCTGCAAGCGCAGCAGTCGCCACCATATTGGGGCGCCTAATATTAGGTAGTCTGGATTCACCTGACTGATGATCATCAGTATCAAGAGGGCGTGACTCAGACCTGACACTATTCGAATCACAAACAATACGGTCTGGTGTTACAGTTCTACGAACAGGTGACTGCTGAGAATTTCTCGGTTGATATTCGTTAGCAATAGTGTTATCATTATCATCATGTTGGTTAATCCCAGACGATGAGGGTGTCACAATATTCTCTTCATTATCATTAGGTTCTGATGCAACGTTTGCTGTTGGATTCACCAATTCTCCAGAATGTTCTTCTGTATTACTTTCCAATGTCTCTGCTGGAGGATAGGGGCATTCTAAGTGAACTAAATGAAATACCTATTTTCAGGAGAAATAGCAAAGATGAAGTGATACGATAACGTGATAAATACAAAGCGGATATAAAGCTTGCATTAGTATAAAGCATTTACATTCTCAAGAATCATTTGCATAACTTCAAATTAATTAATTCCAGAGAAAATATCTAACTTATATTTCGTCACGAATCAGCGTCAGTTAAAGAATCATTGAAGACAAGGGAGCGCTGCCAACGTGTCCCATCTTTGTTTGCGACTCGTCACCAGTGCACATTTGTGACCCCACCAAGAATCGAACTTAGGATCTTCAAGGTACTAGGCCGGCAAGTTGACCATTCAGTTGGTTGGACGGAATCCAACGACTTGTGAATTCTAACTTCTGTCAAGTTGGCTGCCGTCAACCAACCGCATCAATCAGCATCTGCTTCACTTTAGGATAGTTGATTTCACTGGCTACATGACATCTCCTTAAAACGTCGGAACACGCATTCGGTAACTACTAATTGCGTGGAGATTGATATTTACATTTTGGATTATATGTAAGAATTTTGACTGACTCCAGTGCGGATTTCATGACGAACCGAAGTCAACTAGAGAGAATCATTGAATATCAAGGAGCACTGGACAGCTGCTTCATTCCAGCGGATGAACGATTAACTGGCTGGCCTCGTAACCCGAATACCCTGAAACCCAGTGGCTGTCTAAAAAGTATTCTTGAATTCATAACCAGTGATTCCTCGAAGAACTGACTGATATACGCTGGCATGTCTAGGTAAGCATACGCATATACCTGGACTTGTACACTCATTACCAACCAGTTATCCACCCATATCTATTTGATACAACCTATCGAATAAAATTTCTGCATGATATAGCATCCTCACTGGTACAGAAGACTTATGTCTGAGAAATCATGAGAGATGCATGAAAGAAGGAGAACTGGAAAGTAATAATTATGTGAGATGCGTTGAATTTAGGTTAAAACTGAATTGTACCACAATAACTGAACCCAATTTTATACACTAAACGATAAGCTGCCGCTACTGCTGACAGCTGCTTGAACACACTGGATAAGTGACAGTGTGTCTGAATCCATAACTTAGGAGCTACAATTAAAATACCAGCCTGATAGTTCAAGCACTAACTCGAGAGAAACTGTCGAATTTCAATTCACTCACTACACGTCAATGGAACAAAATTACACTTAACAGGTTTGCTCACAAGCTGACATCAGTCACAGGATCACTGGAAAGCCAGGGAGTACTGAGCAGTTGTCTTGTCCTAGTTCGGAACTCTTCAGAAGTATACATCCGCAAGGGTTCGAACCCAGGACCTCCCGGTTACAAGGCGAGCTCGTGGGTCATTCAGCCACTAGGACCCGGGGTCCAATGGCCCATGAACTCCAACTTCTGCTAACTCGTGATGTATATATAGGGCAGTCGCTAACCAATGTTATAGGTTAGTAACTGGCCTGTTGGACCCCGCTGGTCACGACTTCCCACCAAAACTCCAAGTAACTTGCTGTATAGAACTAGTCACAACAGACAAATTATCTATCAAGTGGTATGGATTGGCATGGATTTATATTTGCAACAAATCAATCAAGTTACTTAAGCATAATTCCACTACAATATCACAGTAAATTAGTAAATTCAACATGAAATTCCCCTAATATACATATTTCGAAAAAAAAAAACCAAAACAACTTTACAGTGAAATAATACAACAAGAAATTATCAACACCGAAAAGAAACTCACATCATTCGCGGTATTATTTGAGCCAACAACACGAATGAATGTAACCAATTGTAAAGGAAATTTGATTACTTGCCAAGAACGACATTGTTCACCAGATGCATCACGTACAAGTTTCCAATCTGAACGATCATTTGATACATATACTGAATAAGAATAAGTACGCGGGTCCAAATCCCATAATAAAAATCTTTATATTAAAAAAAACAAAAAACAAAGGAAGATAGACAGAAGTATATGGAAACATACGAATGTATATTCTAAGTTTCAGGGTTTCTCGTACTAGTCCCTGTTGTTGTGAAAATGCACTGAAGAGAAAAATGCATTGAAGAAACTGAAGAATAGAAAAGATATAGTTATTCTGCCGGCTGATAAAGGAAGAACAACAGTAATCCTGGACTCAGAAGACTGCATAAAGAAAGCAGAGGATTTACTCAGAGATAATAATGTATATCAACAGTTGACAAAAAGCCCTATACAAACATTAGATAACAAAATCAGAACAACTTTAAATAAACTAACGAAATCAGGACAAATTACAGAACAAGATCAATGGCGAATGAAATCTAACTGACCTATTTTACCTCGATTCTATGGTAGACCGAAACTACACAAACCAAACATTCCCTTACAACCAATCGTTTCGCTTTCAGGAACACCAACATATAATCTATCTAAAGAACTTTTCAAGAAATTAAATTACCTAACAGAATCATGCGACCATTCTATCAATTTGTCAATCCAATTTTTAGAGAAAATCAAAAACATTCAAGTAGAAGACAATGAAATAATGGTGTCCTTTGATGTCACAGCATTATATACTTCAATTAGTCCAAAACTAGCAACAGAAACTATGCAACAATTACTCTATAGTGATGAAAACACAAAAATGCAATTATCAACTTGGATAGAACTCATAAAATTATGCCTTACGACATACTTCCAGTTCAATACTCAAATATATGAACAAATAAAAGGAACACCAATGGGATCGCCCATATCAGGATTAATAGCTGAAGCCGTTATGCAAAGATTAGAATTAATAGCTCTACCTATAATTAAACCGAAAATCTGGATACGTTACGTTGATGATACATTTGTAATAATTAAGAGAAGTGATTTAGAATATACTCATAAATTAATAAACAACATATCTGAAGACATCAAATTCACAAGAGAAGAAGAATTAGATAACAAAATCCCATTTTTAGATGTCTTAATCAGGAGAACCAACACAGGAGATTTAGAGACACAAGTATATAGAAAATCAACGCACACAGATCAAATACTCAACTATACTAGCAATAATCCAGTTACTCACAAACGAAACTGTGTGCAGACATTGTTTAAAAGAGTTCAGACACATTGTAGCACTCCAGAGTTGAAAAGAATGGAAGAAAAGTACCTACAAACGGTCTTCAAAAAGAATGGTTATCCACAAAATTTCATCAAAAAGTGTTTAAAGTCGAATCAAAACACCAACAAGAAACCATCATCAAAGACCACAAGAAAATTCATTCTACCATACATGAGGAATATCTCTGAAATAACAGCTAGAATACTGAAACCGTTAGATATAGATATAGCACACAAACCAGTAAAATCGCTTAATTCGATATTATGCAAACCAAAAGATCCAACAGAAAAAGGGGATAAAATTAATACCATTTACAAAATAAATTGTATGAACTGCAACAAGCATTACATCGGCCAAAGTGGGCGTCCCCTTCGAATCAGAATCCAAGAACACAAATCAGCCGTGAAAAGACACGATATGTATTCTTTAGTATCAATGCATATAGACAATTATGGTCATCAATTTGATTGGGATAATGTCAAAATCTTAGACAGAGGAAACACGAAAAGTGCCAGAGAATTCCTAGAAGCCTGGTACTCAAACGAAAATGCAATTAACAAACACGTTAATATAGACGAAATATACCAACTAATAAAAAGTAAATCAGGTGACCAGAAAGTTTAAAATCCAAGTCAATAGAAAATGGTCAATACATATGTAAAGATAGTTACCAGGAGACGCAATTATATCACTCATGAAGAAATTTAAATCATTTCACTTTGTGCTAAATATGGCGCTGAAGATGTTGTCCAGAAGGACGACGAAAGCTTCGCAACTAAACCAACCAGCTCAGAGAACAGATATATATTCCGTATTGCGAATAATAAAAAGTTGTTGCTGTCACAGTTGTCTCATTTAAATCTAACTTCGGTGCGTCTACTCAGTGTAGAGAATATTTCCAAGTGATCAGTTGCCTGAAGAGGCTCATTGTAGTATTGTAGTCAGGACAGACAACAACCGACAAAACCACTAACACGCCCGATAAAACAATATGACGTGAATCAGTAGACATTATTGCACTCATTTCTATGTTGTTAATTAAAAAGGCTTACTAAAAACAATTATAAATGATGAAGCAAGGCATAGAGATCGGAATTCCTGTGTCTTCCGTAAAGGAACTTCTATTAAGGTGTACAATGAACGTAAGTTCCCTGTTCAATAAAGAAATCTATAGACACTCAGATGATGTTGACATGGGATCACCACTAGGCCGAATCCTAGCAGATTTTTTCCTGGCGAAACTAGAGAATGGTCCACTTAAAGATGTAATATATATAATCTTGATTTCTACTGCCGATAAGTTGATGATACATTTATAGTTGTGAAGAATGAAAGCGAGACCAAGGATATATTGGAGAAATTCAACAAACCATATCCTGGCATAAGCTTCACTAAAAAAGAGTAAGAAAATGACTCTGTTTCCTTTTTGGACGTCGTAATGACTAAACGAACAAACAGAATAATATGTAGACGTTTGTATAGAAAACCTACTTCCACTGGACAATATACTCACTTCCTGAGCTTCGTAACTCTGCAATACAAACGTAATATGGTCAGATCTCTGGTTCACCGGGTTAGAGTTATCTGTTCAAATGAGACACTGAACGACGAACTCGGTAGCATTCGTGATCTACTAAGTTGAAACGGACATCCGACTATATTCGTGAACAAACACATGAACTCAGAAAGTAAAAAGTCAAAAGTACCGACTGTTCTCCAAATATCCGTCTTCCTAAGATTACATTTCACGGGAGATGTCAATAGCGAGATCTCATTACAACATCTGAGAAAGGTCTTCAAAAGGACTTTCGATGCAGCTAAGCTACGCTGTGTATTCACTAGCCAACCAATACTTAGTTCAAGAAATATGGACAGACTTCATGTGTATTTACCAGTTTAACTGCTCATGCGGAGCTAGTTACATAGGGCGTACGATTAGGCATGTTCATCGTCAAATTTCTGAACACCTCCAGTCTTGGTTTGGCAAAGGTTTGAATAAAGTTATGCGCAGTTGAATACTAACTCATCTCGTCGATACTGGACATCAAATCGACTCTAATAAAGCTTTTAAAGTTATTTGTCGTATATCACTTAACCTCTTGTATGGTCTACAAGTTCGACTTTCACGTACAGCAGAGGCAATCGGAATTCTGTGTTCAAGAGAAATTTGTACAGCCCCTTTCTTTGCCATGGCCAACTACACAATATGTATTAAGTTTTTAAAAACGATTTTCCCCTCCCCTTGTAACTATCTTTTGATTTTGTTCATTTTAACAATTTTTAAAATTCTAGCTAATTCTAATAAGTTGTTTGCATTTTACGTAACTCTTCTGAGTCATCCTATTCTTCTTAGTCATCATTGCTGTTTTACAAATTTCTTGATTATGTGATAACTTGTTGCCAACGCCTAAGAACCAACTTATCTTGAATTCCGCAATCAATTTTCACACCTCTTTTAAAACTTAGATATCTTGTTACTAACATCTATTAATTATTTGTTTTGATGACCTCTTGATTTTACCCCCGCCTATACCTTAAACTGATTAACCAAAATAACCACTTGATTGGTAAAAAATTTTGATGTAAAAAACTATATATTAGTGTACAGCTGATGATGAGGAACTAATTGAAAATAAATATATTTCTTCGCTCAATCTGTTGTTTTTCCTAAGTGCGTAAATGGGAATTTGGAAATTTTAATTGTGCTATAGACTCCCGCAAGGAAGTTTAGCCTAAACGAATAAGTCAGCCATCACTTAGGTTTTTTTTCTATTTTTAGACAACAATGGGGTTGAGATCAATTAAGAAATTGTAAATTTCCACTATAATACAACCACTTCGTAAACATAAAAAAAGGCAAGGAAAACAACCACTAACAGACAACACTAAGCAAAAAAGGGAAAGAATATTTGCCAACCAAATGTGATAATATAATGCATTCACAAGTAATAGAGCTCACCTCATTGAACGCAATAAGAATGGTTGAGCCAACTGGACTACAATAGCACCATTACCTAATTGATGGCATGTATAACCTGAATTCCAATCATACATTCGAACATTGCCGTCAATCAGCGCGTTCCTATTTCGACTAACACCTTCTAGAACTGTAGCTCCAAGATCAACATTTGCAACATTATAAGTTGGAACCTGAGAGTATAATTAAAATAGTACAAATAATAACAGTATTATCAGGAATCCATGGCATGGATTATAGCAGAAAAGAGAAAGTCAGTACAGCAAAATTACTCCCTTAATTTGAAAGACACTGAATATTAAAAATAAAAGACCCTCTGCTAAGGTAGGGTTCGAACTGTTGTCTCATTGGTTATAAGTTCAGAAATCAAAAGAATAAACTAAAGCAAAAATTACTGAAAACTTTTCACAAAATGAAATCTTTTGCTTACCATAAAGCCATCTACTTGCTGAAATATATTCTCGCTGTAAAGACATCGAAATGTGATTAGATGAAAAGTACGATTGAATGTGTTCCTTGTCCCAGTGATACGAATATAATGAACAACACGTGATGGAAAGTGTAATGTTTGCCATGAACGGCACATGTAATTACGATAATCAACAATACGATGCCAAGTGGACTGGTCCAATGAAACATCGATACAATAAGAATATGAGCTATGTATTGTCAAGATATATGAAGGAAATGTAATACAAAGAAAATAAGAATCACAAATCAGCAATCAACTGAGAAAAGTAACAAAATAAGTTCAGGAAAGTTGGTTTCAAGTGAAAACAAAAAAACACAAGGTATCTCAAATGATACGGACGACTTATGACTCAGGTGGATGATTTTAGTATTGTTGTGGTCTCTGGGTTGGATGGTTTAACAGTAACGCTTTTCAGTATCCGTCTAGGTAATATTTTCAGTGTTAATTTCACTTCGAAGTTATTCCATTGATGAAGATTTTATTTAAAAGCGTACTTCATATCTAAGTTAGCACTAAAAACGTTATCTAGAAAGACAGTGAAAGCCTCAGTTAGAGATTGTGACAACACTTAAACCATCATCCATTTGTATGAATATGTATCAGTTAATCAATCATGCCTAAATAATGGTCAATGATTCTATTTAACTGTCCAAGCTGTAGTAAATGGAAGGGGTTTCAAAACGAACATCAAACTGATTAAAACTCTACAGTCTAGACATAGATCAATGGGACGTCACCTTCTTCTTTGAACATTATTTCTAGTTTCTCGTAATTGCTTTTTGAAGTATGAAAATTCTACCTACAGATTCACTCTGTTTCGCCAGGATACTCAGTCACACAAGTTTAGAAAAAAACAAACGATGTAATTTGTCTTATGTTCTTCCGTTACGATCCCATGTACATCTATCTACAAAAAATGATATTTTTAGGTTGACAGTAAAGCTTTCTCAAGTTGTCCTGGAATTAAAAATAGTTAATCTTAACTAGAGTCAGACAAATAATTATGCTGAATAGTTTTACCTTTGAAGATAACAGTAAAATCTCAGGTTGACGACATTAGCCACTAATATCTGACGTTGAATATTCGAGGAGCTGATTTTTAAACGCGTCAGTCGTTTACTGGCAGAATACTCGTCGAATACGCAAGTGTTCTGGGGTTCGGTCCCCTCAGGACGCCCTCTTAAACCCCGCTTAGCCAGTAGTATGTCAGTAAAAAGTGAAGGTTGGGTGGACATGAGGCCAGCTACCCCACCCCGTAAAAAAATAAAACCATTGCTACTGGGACTCCAAAGCTTAAAGGTAGAAGAGCCTTATGTCCTACGCAAAGGAATTATTTTTAAACTGCTCCACTAATTGTTCTGAATCACTGAATTTTACCCAATATTAGCCATCACTATCTAATACTCCATAGTGGTTTTCTCAGCAAACTTAAAAAACTTATTAACTATTTTTTTTTTAAAGTTGATATCTCTTCTACCTCTTTAACTTCCTTAACCCTCTTTATTAGTATGCACACAATCCCTTTTCAAATAACATTTATTATTACAGAATAAAGTAAAAATTCTACAATTGTGGGCTAGTCTCAACCACTAATCATCACTTTAAAGGCGAACATCACCTTCGAAATTTCATCCTTTTTATTTTTGACAAAATATGTTGTAAAATATTTTTTCTAAAAAATAAAAAGACAATTTACCGTAAATCTTGATCCCATAACTGCATACGTATAGTATTCACAATACTAGGTTTTCCCAGCTGAATAATAATACTAGCCTTAGGATCATCTAAAGAATGACGAACTACATCATATTCTGAATGAGGTGGCGGTGGTTTATTCTGATTAACACGTCTTCTCGACGATGGTTGGATCCAACAGGATGCCTTATTACTGAGTGCATTGCCAGTGCTGCTGGATGCCGCTGCTGCTGCTGCCGCCGTATTCACAATACCAGTGCCATAAAGGGTTAAATTACGAATATTATAATGGATTTGTTGAGTGTTGGACAATCTTTGGTTATTTGTATGGTGCGAAGAATCGCTAGGATTACTGCTGACAGTCGGAGTATGATTCGTTCCCCAGACTACGCCTTCTGACAAAGAACTTCGAGACAAATGAGTAGAATCAATATGCCGATTGAATGTTCGACCTGCAATACAAACAACAATAAGCAGAGTTACAACGATGAATTTAATATACTTATACGCACGCATGGGAAATTCTCTGTTACCATTTGCTAAAAAGAATGGCTTTAGCACTAGGTTTTACTGAAGAATAAATACAGGCAACTAATAATTATCATGGATCTGTTTTCTACTCTTTAGGAGACTGTTCGCCAACGCGTGACACTGAAGAATGGTAATTTACTAACAACAGAAAAATCCTCTTAGTAAATACTTCAGACAAGAAACGAATATGAGGAAAATATAAACTAAAACGGCATTTAACTGATGAAATGATGTTAGAGATCATTGCTGACTTATTTCACTCAGATTTCAAGAGACATACAATACAATACTAGATGGCGTCTATCAAATTTCTCATAAGAGACAGCAATTAGCCCAACGCGTTAGCTTAATACAAGAAAGAAACAATCTAAAGCCTCCGCAGTATAACCATACATAGAATATTTTTTCTGTGATTCTTAGCAAGATTGGGGTCAGTATGTCGTTTCGAGCAGCAATCTCATTTATTGTTATTATAATTCTTTCCTTTAGTTCCTACAGGAACATAGGGCTTCAGCTGCACGTCTCCATTGCGTTCGGTTCTCTGCCGTTTCCAGGTGAGTCTAAATGGTTTAATTTAATGCCCAAAACTAATAACCCCAGTAGGATGTATGGTGTTGTTAAAGTTCATTAGTCAGGATGCTCTAGTAGACCTATAGTTGATTTTAGAAATTCACCTACTTATGAATTATCTAAATATTTGGCCAGGGTATTAAATCCCTTTAAAAGCCACTCTAAATCTATACTAACAAATTTTTATGAACTAAAACATAGATTAGATCATTTAAAATTAGCTCATAATCATATGATTATCAGCAATAAATTGTGCTCGAAACACGGTCATCAGGAAACATTACTGTATAACACTGTGAGACTTTATCAAAACAAAATTTACCCATAATGGAATTACACTCTACCACAGTGCACAAGTTTTATTCTTATATCAATTTAAAATTAGATAATGAAGAAAAAATGGTTAGTTTTGACATTGTCAGTTTAAATACACGTATACCAATAAATATGACTATAGAGGCAGTTAGAAACGAACTCATTTCTGACCAAGAAGTCGAAATTAGGACAAAATTGCCAATTGAGGACACAATGCTGGGAGTGCAGCTATGCCTGACTTTCACGGTATTTAAATTCCAGGTGAAAATATACAAACAAACTGAGGGAGTGGCCATGAGGTTACCAATATCCCAGGTTGTGGCAGATATATTCATGGATAGATGGGAGAAGTTAGCGATTGAAACGTTCACCCCCACCCCAAAAGTATGGTGGAGGTATGTAGATGACGCATTCACTGTACTTAGAACACAGGATATAGACAAATTTCTCCCACACATTAACTCAAAGGTGGAGGCAATTCAATTCACTTATGAATTGGAAAGTCAGGAAAGGGAACTTCCAATGTTAGATTGTAACGTAAAAAGGAAAGAAGATGGGAAGTTAAACACTAGTGTTTACGGGAAACACATATTCAAACTGATATTTGGATTTCCGATCATCTCATCCTATGTCAGTAAAAATACGATTCGTGAAATGTTTACATGATAGGGCACAAAACTAAGTCGTACCAAGGAAAATCTAAGACAGGAAGTAAGGCATTTAGGAGAAGCTTTCAAACTTAATAATTACCCTGATAAACTAATCAGGAAGTATGTAGGGAAATGTAAAGATAAAAATGAATAATGATAGCAGTGATAGTGATAATAATGATAATAACATTAAAATTAATGACGTCATGCATGTCAAACATGCCCAAGATAATGATAACACCAACAATAAGTAGTCTAAATCATCAGTAGTACTTCCATACAAAGAAGGAACCTCGGAAACCTTACGCAGAATTCTTAACAAGGCAGAAATAAAAGTGGCTGGCATTCAAACCAACCACAAACTCAATTAGAAACAAGCTTTGTCGGTTAAAGGATCCTGCCTGTGGAGCCTTCAAAACAAAACAATTTAGTTTATCTAATACACTGTCTGCAATGATTGTCAGGTCAAATACATAGGTCAAACTAGTAGAACAGGGCAGTCAGACTAGCCGAACATAAAAAACCTAGCAAAATCTGGGTTGATTGACCCGAATAAGATAAGAAATCTAGAGAATAGTTCAGTTATAGCACTACATGCAATTACACACAACCATACAATAGCCTGGATGGGATAGGATGACAGTTTTAAAATCTTATGTCACAGGGTATAGGGAGAGATTGATAACAGAAGCTTTGTTTATCAAATCAACTGCAAACACGTGTAATAAGAATGATTCAACACCTGTCCCAGATACCTGGAAAATCCTACTACACCAACGACGACAAATAGGAGAGAACAAAGAAAACTATAAAACTCAAGTTTCGAAGTCGCGTGATTATAAATGATATGATTATAAACTATAAATTGTGTTTGAAACTCATCCAGTAAATAATACTGTTTCACTCACTGTGTGATATATCTAATGTCCAAGCCCTATTTTTGTGCAGGTGATACCAACAACAACCTACACACACAGTAGGTGTGACTCATTGCACAATCCATTATGACATGAATTTTAACATTGAAAAGCGTACGTACCGAAAACCAACCGAAAACGAATAATTTCAGCTTTACATTTTACATTATACCATTAAAGATAATGATAGCTCACATTAACTGTCTATTATGAGCATTAGTGAAACAGAATTCACTATGCTAATTACGACTGACTAGTTATAACATTACCTGCCACATCGGACATATCTATAGTTGGCAAGTGAGTATTATCATCATCATCATCATTGTTTCTTCGTCGTTGTTGCTGACATCTGAGGTATGTTTCACCATGCCCTCCTCCTCCTCCTCCACCGATGTCGTCTGCCTCATCTCCATCATCAATATCCACAGCGTCGTCGTCTTCTTCATTTCTATCTGAATAGTCTGAATCATGACAGTTCAGTTCATTTAGACTCAGAGATTCAATATTCAATTTAGCATCATTGGATTCCTCTAAGTCAAGTGGATTTTCAACGAAAAAGTGTGGATAAGTTCCATGTTCACCAGAGATCAAGGTACATCCGAAACGAGGTGATGCCAAATTCACACCTGGCACTATAGATATTTTTACAAAAAGGCAAAAAAACAATTGATAACTAAAAAAATGATCATAATAAAATCAAATTTCTAATTTTCTACAGTTTGGTTTGTAAGGGTTTGTTCTGTTTTTACGAGTTGATCACGGACTGATATCAGTTAAAGGACGATTGAAAACCAGGGAGTACTGGACAGCTGCTGTTTCATCCTAGATTGGGAATCATCGGCAGTGACTTGCTACAGGATGGAGTTTCCTGGAGTTCTAGTGAGAGTTCGTGACCAGTGAGGTCCAATTAGATGTCACGTGTATGGATGGATGTCCCACCTACGACAATGGGTGGGGTAGCGCTAAATCACGAATTGGTAGGAGTTAGAATTCATGAGCCATTGAATCGGGTCCCAGTGGCTGAATGGTATACGAGCTTGCCTTGTAACCGGAAGGTCCTAGGTTCGAATCCCAGTGGGTGCGTACTGCCGATGATTCCCAAACTAGGATGAAACAGCAGCTGTCCAGAACTCCCTGGTTTTCAATGGTCTTTTAACTGATATCAGCCCGTGATCAACTCGTAAAAACAAATTTCTAATAATAAATATATAATAATATGCCTCATGAATTCTAGCTTATATCAGTTTGTGATATTAGCGCAACTACCAGACAATGTCATGAGCAAGTATTTGTCCTGGCTGACTCCTGGCAACATAATTACATGACGAATATCTCCCAAGAATTCACATCGACATCGACTTTTTTTGGGCACAATAATTAACAAAGAACTGGAATGAATTCCCAGCTTACAACTTCGTACAAAAGTGCAGCTTCCTGAGTTATCACAATCTAGGAAGCACAAAAAAGCAGGGGATTATTTTATTCTATTTTATTTATTTAAACACAAAAACTCGGTACAATATGGTACCAAGAAGATGTGCCATACAATAATAATAATAATAAGACAACATAGATTAAAAGTAAAAATAAACGTGGAGAATGGATTAAGTACTTCTTCGGGAAGGAAAACAGTCATATCCAACAAGTTCAAGCAACATTCGCCAATTATTGTCGGGATGGGGAGGAAGAAAGAAATTGCAGAACGTTCGCCATTGGTAGCAATTCTTGACCATATCCGATTACGTTTCAAGCTATCTCTTGGACTCCAACCAGGGAGCCATGATGCACCAGCCGATGCTAACCTAACACAAATATCCCCGATCTTTGTAATCTCCCAGACTTTATAAATCTTCATGTTTCTTGATGTAATTATTTTTCTCTCTCGAACATTACGGTTCATACAAGTTTTTTTTAATTTCTCCTCCTTATTTTTGTAAATATAGTATGTACTTTGCGCCGTCTAAGTGCAAAGTACTGTTACAATGTTGGCAAGAGCCTGTACCTGCACTCACTCTTGCGGGTGAACCGCTTGAAGTTGTTGATAAGTTTGTGTATCTGGGTAGTTGTGTGAGTGCTGGCGGAGGGGTAACGGATGAGATTTCCAACCGTATAATGAAGGCTAGGGTGGCATACATCAACTTCAGCCACCTCTGGCGCCGTGGCGACGTTGGCCTGGCTGTCAAAGGTCGGGTATACAATGCTTCGGTGTGAGCTGTCTTGCTCTACGCCTGTGAAACCTGGCCTCTACGAGCTGAGGATGTGCGGCGGCTCTGTGTGTTCGATCATCGCTGTCTCCACAGGATTGCTTGCGGAGATGGTATCATCGCGTGAGTAATTCTGAGGTTCGGCGGCGTGTGTTTGAACACAGTGGAGATCCCATTCACTGAATGTCGTCATCTGGAAACACCGGCTCCCTGGTTAGGGTCCGCGAGATAGCCGGAATCGAAACGTAATCGGATATGGCCAAGAATCGTAATCAATGGCGAACGTGTTGTAAATTCCTTTTTTCTTCCCTTCCCGATGATTGTCTGAACTTGCTAAGTATGACTTTTCCTTCCAGATGAAGTTCTTTACCCATTCTCTACTTTTATTTTTTATTTTTAGTCTATGTTGTTTTATTATTATTGGTGCCATATTGTGCCAAGTTTTTTTTCTGCGTTTAAATAAGTAAATAAATAATTCACTCTGTGCCTAACCTCAATATTACTCACCATATTATACCACTTTAAGATGGTATAGATGGAGTCCTAGAATACTACAAAAAGTAAATGTTCAGAAATTCATTTCTAACTGACATCAACTTGAAATGAAAAATACGTATACTATTTGCCATCCAGGAAACACACCACCGAATTCCACATTAAATTATTAACTTTTATAAGGATTTGAATTAATTTCAGTGATTTCGTCACGAATCAATATCCGTTAGAGATTAGCGAAAAACAGCAAGTACTGAACAGCTGTTTCGTCCTAGTTGTTGACTCTTTATCAGTGCGCAGCCCCAAATAACAAATATACTAACTATTAACATATTAATTAAAAGAATAATTACTTAATGAAGTACAAAGGAAAGTAAACTCAAAGCATAAAATCGACTTACGCAGCCATCCACGATGAGGTACTTCAGCAGGACAATTAGTCTGTCGATTGATAGCATCCAACAATTCTTCTGAGCTAACAAGTTTCGATGAACGGACTTCAGTTAATAGTTCAGTAAGTGACATTAATTCGAATCGAACACACTGACTCATCATATGATGATTACGAAGTTCTTCTGAAGTAACCGCCATTAGTGATTCTCGATCACTGTCGACATCTTTAGTGAAAAACAGGGAAGACAAAAAACATTATAAATATGAATACCATATGAGAAAATTCTAAGGAAACTAATGCTTTCCTTTTTAATATATCTTACAGTATAGAGTAGAATTTATATCCTAACGTTTGTAAGGCTTTTTGAAACAAAATAATTGTCGAATTGTGCATTGTGCAATACATACTCTTAGATAGCTGAACTTATTTCAATGCCTTATTGTACGCATAATCTGAGAGCACATAATTTAGACAAATTTATTTTACTTCCTATAACAAGGTATGTTTCAACACTAGAAACGATTATCGGATCCTATTACATTTACAAATCATTTGTAATATGAAAGTGGAGTTTTAAAAGGTACTGCTTTTCCTATATTCCTTCTTTACCACTACATTTCTTTTTATTTAATCTTGATTTATTGTGAAAACTCCCTGAGGACAACTAGTCCAAATTCCACCACAAACCAGCTTTAGCGTTCCACATTAAACTAGCATTATATTATGCTAACCTTTCTTGGTTTAGATTTTCAAAAAGATAAGCACTCCATAAACACATCACAACTTCGGCTAAATTCTTAGCGTTACTCTACTTGAAAGAGTTATGCAGACTGGTGAAACTCTGAAACAATAAACAATAGTGGAAAATTAAATCTATTATGTGTAAAAAGTCCAAACTCGACAACTATATAGTCTGACATTAACAACGCAGGACAGTTGAAGTGCGTCGGTGGCACAGTGGTTAGGACTCTCGCCGACCATGCACATGGCCCGAGGTTCGATCCCGCACCGACGCACACCTGATATCTATGGTCGGCCTGCTAAATTTGGGCTACCGATATCACATGCTGAAAATTTCATACTTGTAACAAAGTACTGTGTGGAATCAAGCTACAATAAATAAATTAATTAAAAATTAAAAAAAAAAGTTAAACACACTGCATTCTCTTACACAGAATAGAAAGTAAAGAAAATAAATGCGACGAAACATGTAGATGAAAGTATCGGAATACAAAATAGGGAAGAGATTAAAGTAAACAGAAAATGCATTACAGTACGGTTTTTAAAAAAATTAAGATGAGGCGTCAATGTGTGTGAATTTCCGAATATAAGTATTATTTTACACTTGAAGGCTGTGATATCACGTAAGTGAATGGGTTATACTTGGTTAACTAAATTTACTAGCCCCAATGCTTTAGACCTCATCATACACCAACACTAGTTAAAAATCCACTAAAAGCCGAGGTAAATACAAAAATGTTCCTCTCTAGCTTGAAACTCTTCAGTGGTCTGCACCTATAATGCTGCAAGGGGACGAAACAAGAACTGACACGCTGAGGTGAGCGTATAATTTCTGTCAATCCTTGAAACAGTAATACTATTAACTGTCATTTAAGTATGTCATCACACGTCCCATTCCATTGGTTACTTACTTCTCAAAAAAACTTTAAGAAGTCAGTATTAAAGCCAGTGGTCTAGTAAGTGTATCTTCCTTATTAATCAACTCTTCACAAATCTCACACCTGAAAATTAATCTAAGGAAGACTGAAGACTTACTTCGAAACTGAATTGCCAAAGTCCTGAACAGAAGCAACTGGTGTGCTCTATTAAGTCAAATGTGAAAATGATTACCCATCAATAGCACCGAAGTTGACGAACTAACAGAGATTTGCAGTTGCTAGTCACCGGAATATGATTCAGTAAGAGGTCAGTAACCTGATCGTTTGATTTCTCGCCAGTTCATATGCGTGCGCTACTGCAGAGTACTAACTCACAACAAAACAACTATCAGGTACACCTCCGTATTCACTGCGTTTATAGCTAATATAGCTCGGTCTGTCCACTTTGCACCGGAATACATAATGAAAAATAAAAAACTGGCGACAACTACATATTTTAGCTCGAAAACTAGATATGATTGGATATCACAGAGAAAACAAAACATGCTTAACATACCTCTGTTCGATGATTTCTTCTCTTGCTGTACTGATGAATTTAACAGTGCTGAGAATGACAAGTTGTTGCTTTCTGCTTTAACTTCACTTGATAACTCTTCTTGTCCCACTTCATTATCAACATCTGACTGAGGATTATCTGACAAATGTGATTTATCAGCTGTTTCATTGTTAACTTTATTAAAATGCTTTAACCAAGCGCATACAGCACGAAATATCTTGATTTCGGGAGCATAAAAGCTATCACGAGATAGCAAACGTTCAACAGACGACTGAAACACAAAAAATAATACTATTAATTACATTTGATTGTAAGCTGATACAGCTAACCATATAAGAAATGATTTCCCAGAAGTTGGATGGTCGAATACCAACAAATGGACTACATGTGTCAACATCATTTCACTTACAATAATTGATTAGTCAAATAGGGCTCTTATACTAGTCGTGTTTGACTATCAGATACACAAATCAGTGAGATAAGAACCATAAATGTTACAGTTTCGGCGAGGCTATAGCTTAGAGAATTGAAGAGTATACGAATTACGAAAAGAGAGCAATACACTCGAAGAACCTGGAGAATATGAAAATCAATGTCAGAGAAAGCTTCGATTCATCTTTTAACAGTTCATTACAAACATAATCGTCGGTCATATTTAACCCTTAAATAAAGCACATTCATGAATTTAGTCTCTGAAATACACGACTCATCTTTCCCTATTGCTAGTACTAAACGATGAATAGGGCCCTTCATTCTCGATCATTTGATGAAGGGAATGTTCTGTCTCCAGAGGTACTATAACAGAACCACAGCGAAACTACATTTTTAAGAGTATGAAGAAAAATCCACATTATTGACAATATACGTCTCACAACAGAAGATGACCAGTATACATCCATACAAATTCCCAAGTATTATGAAAATGTGATTTTGGACTGTGTATAATACAATAAATAGAAATATTTTCTACAGTCATAAGTAACCGTCAACCCCCATCCCATCCCACCCCCAAATCTACGGCCTGGTCTCCGTCTCGAAATACTCCCATGTAGCCACGCATTCATAGTATCTACCAGACAAGTCCTACTAACTGTTTTCATGTGGCATAGCTGTCACTCACAGTGAAAAAGCAAATCCCAATGTCTGGCGCTTACAACCGGAGTGGTGGACATATAAGCCTGACTAGGGGAGCTGAAAAACCTGTTTTGGTTACTGCGAACCATGGGAACGCAGCTACTGATGCTGCTCCATCGACTTGTGGGTAGAACTTCAATTGGGAGAACGGCTACTTAAGACAACTATCTGTTTCGGTCTAGGCGTCCGGGCAGTACTCTAGTCCTCACATAAACCATAACATATTGTGTGGCGCTTCTATTAATGTCCACATACCATATTTGTTTTAATAATGATAATAAACGTCAGACTGGTGGAAGATGAATATAGTCTGAACTTTAGTAATTAATGTAGCAACTTCTTTAGGTGGTAAAAGTGAACCATGACAACAAATACAAGTACATGGAACCATACGTAATTGGAGTTAGTCTACTCCGCCTATTTCAGCCTCGACAAATGGGTACTAACATCATCCCTAATACAGTATATGCAGTTCATAGTCTGGTACATGAAAAGTCTTTCCCAGGGAATTGAGTCCCAACTAACTAACTATATTAACGCAGATACATGTATAGACAGAAAAACAATTTAAAGAAACTAACCTGTGATAACTTCAGGAAGCGTGGATCACATAGAGGAGCAGGAGCAAGACAATCTAAGAATCTTAAACAGGCTGTAATAAGTCCATCCAGATTGTACATTACAGCCATGTCAAAAACACACCATACGTTCTTTAGACAGAGTGAATGTGTTAAGTACGTGGACAGTGCACTTTCTAGACTGTGAAAATTATACTGGTGAGCAAGGCCCAAGATTTCAAGAGTAAGCTAAACATAGATACAAAATATAAGTATAGAAAAAGACATGAGGAAAGCATGCAAAGAAAAAAACACGCACTGATGCCTTACGGCTTTGAAACAAACTCCGCTAGAGACTGCAAGGTATAAAATGTCATAAATTCTACCTCATTTGAAAAAGAAGCGCTTTTTAAATTCTCACTGTGCTCACTTCCAAGTTCACAACACCAGCATCATGGGCCAAAACCGCAGCTCGACCAAATGTTTGGGAAGCTGATATAAGTGCGATCGTCTCAGCAGCCAACCCAGTGAACTGGTACATCAACCCAGAGTCCCAAGTAGAAGCCGCATGGAATCAATTTAAACAACTTTACGCCCAAGTAACTGAACCTTTCATCCCTTGGTCTGTCCCAAAGGGTCGGAAACATTGCCCTCCTTGGATAAACCGAGAGATTTGTAAGTTACTCAGACGCAAACACATATGTTGGAACCTGTTTGCCACACTTGAGACTCCTGAGACCAGGAAATTATACAACACCACTAGGAACAAAGCTATTGCAGAAATCCGCCAACCAAGGATGAAGTTCGAAGTAAATCTGGCTCAAAATGCAACAGCACGACCTAAGAAAATTTTCTTGTACATGAACTTATGGAATAAATTATCCAATGTTGTCCCAAACCTAACTACTGACAATGACACAATCGAAGAAGATCAAGAAAAAGCAGAAGCAATGGCAAACTACTTCTCCCAAGTCTTTACACAGGAGTCGTTACTCCCCATAGGATCAGCTCTGGATGCATCAGAGGAGCATGGGATAGATTCCGTTGACGTCGACCAAGACATCATGCTCAACTGCCTAATGAAACTAGATGTAGAGAAATCAATGGGTCCTGATAAATTTCATCCAAGGCTTCTAAATGAACTATCAGCTCACACAGCCGGCCCATTGACCACGATCTTCAAGCTCTCTCTCTCTCCTAAATGGATTGTTACCGCTTGACTGGAGAGACGGCATAGAAACCCTCATCCACAAAGGAGGATCAAGACAAAGCCCTTCAAATTATAGGGCTATTAACTTTACCAGCACCTTAATCAAGACACTGGAAAGAATCATCTAGAAAAGTGTCACAGCATATCTGGAAAACAACAATTTGTTATCCAGAGCATAGCATGGCTTCCGAAGAAAACCTCTCATGCCTGTCAAATCTCCTCACTGCAAGAGAAAGCTGGGTCAAATCAAGGGACGACAAAAGACTTGTTGACGTCGTCTCCATAGACTTCAGCAAAGCCTTCGATAAAGTTCCTCACAAGACACTATTCACTAAGTTGGAAAGTCTTGGTATCAAAGGCAGGGATAGGGAACTCCTCATAGATAGGAGGCAGAGGGTTAGGATCCACTCGAAACTCTCCTCCTGGACAGCAGTGGGTAGCGAAGTGCCACAAGGCACGGGCCTCTCCTATTTATTTTGTATATCAATGAGTTACCTCTGCTCACCGATTCCCCTATGATCCTATATACAGACGACTTAGAAATCTGGAGAGAGCTGAAGGGCAACAGTTGTACGCTCACGTTGCAAGGAGACTTCAACAAATTGTTAGAGCGGTCCAGAGAATGGATGCTTTAGATGAATGTAGCCAGGTGTGCAACCATGCGCATCGGACAAGCAAGCATCAGCTCTTAAGAACTAGAGGGAATAACACTCCCATCAGTTCAGATTCATTTGGATTTTGATGTCATAGTAAGTCACGATTTAAAAACTAAAGCACACTGTCGCGCGGTGGCTGCACGTATTTTCAGATCCTTCTGAGCAATTAGCAGCACCAGATATATTCGCCTCATATATATATATATATATATATATATATATATATATATATATATATATATATGGTGAGGTCAAGATTAGGAAACTATCCAGGCAGCCAGTCCCTATCTTAAAAGGGACTTACATATTCTAGAAAGGGTCAAAAGAAAGGCAACACGTATGAGTCTCGACATGATTAATTTATCATACAAGGAAAGATGAGACAGTTCAAATCTCTTCTCCCTGTAATATCGTAGGCAGAGAGGAGATTTAATCACAATGTTTAAAATCTTATATAATGAATACGGACCTCACCTATTCTCTCTTTTCCTTCCCAACAGGTCGGAACACCTTAGGAAACATAGCACAAGAGTTCAAAATCCAAGGAGAAACCAAAATGCTGTAGAGTGCTGGTTCTCACGCCGTCATTAACTGCTGAAACCAACTCTCGGAAGAAGTGGTCTGCAACCTCAACTGATCCATTCAACAAGGGTTTGGACAAGCACAGAAATATACTAGAAGAGGATTAACATAGGCTCCAAGCCTTCTATCCTCAACCAATTAATCTGAATTTGAAATCTTTACGCAAACTGTTCTTGTTTTTTTTCAAACTCAGTAAAGATGGTGGAAAGCATTCCTGATAGACATCACTAATTGTTACCGCTTCCCTAAAGCTCCTACACAGTTAGACGAGAAATATCGTTTTATAATCTGAAACAGTTAACGATAGAGCAGCCAAACAGCTAGAAAACTTCAGCCCATATAATTTCTGAATAATACACACAGAGTTGGACTTGGTTATATATTAACTTAAACCGCATGTGATAACACTGTTGTTACTCACTAGTCGCAAAAGCAAAAAACGAATTGAACATACCTTAGACTTCTTTAGCTTTATTTGACCAGTGTACATGTAACGCAAGATATTTTTGAAAGCAATTACATTAATGTCGTTCAGATGCACAACACTTGAGCTAGACTCTGCCATTCCTCCATAAAACAATGCTCTAAAATAATCGGAACGAGCTGCTAATATAGCTTTATGTGCAGGAAAGTGTGTATTTTGAACAACCAAAGTAACATCACTGAAGAGTTCATTTCGGTATAATTGAGCTATGCAGGGTATAATTTCGGCAGAATGATTTATTTCACACGCTTGAGTGACATCTTGAATCTCATTAGAGAATGCACCGAACTGTAACCCACGACAATGAGTAGCCGCCTGGTTAGACATAATACCAAGTTGACCCTCAGATGCAACGCACTTTCCGAATACCCCGCTCAGCTTTCGGAATCAAAATATTTTATTGCCTACTAAGCTAATTTTAATCCTTTTAAGGTGAGTAGCTGTTTCTGTTAGATAACTTCGTGAATGTGTCCACTAGGTTTTCAGTCATCAGTTCTTTTTGGAGGTAGTTCGAAGAAGTGATCACATGCCGGGAGAACCTGTACCCGACAGTAATATAGTTCCTTCTTGGCTTTGGAAGTTAACTGCAATATTCTCTAAAATATTTTGGTGCGACGGAAGTAAGAAAGTGAACGAGATCAAGTTCACATAGACTTCTTCGTAATTTTGAAGATGTTTTTCTTTGGCAATTTGAGCCAGATTCACCTAGAAATCCATCCATGAATGAGGCAGCTCTGTAACAGTTTTAATTTCATCTGCCCAGTGTAACTTCCCGATTCCTCAGGTCCCTAAAGTTAGAAAGAAGTTTGGGCATTTAGCACAAAATAATCAGATCCAACTTTATCATTTAGGATGGCCATGTTTTCGTCTCTTGTGGTGATCTTCGTAAAGTTGGTAATGGCACACAGCAGTGCACAGTCCCTTCAGATGCAGCTGCAGCGTCATTGTTATTATTCTGTCCTTGCTACCTATTCGGACCATTGGGGTTTTTAATACATCTCCAGTCTACTCAGTTCTCTGTTAGCACCTTCAGATAGATCCATGAATGCACACGAACTTTCATTTCTTCCTCATTCTGTCCCTTCGTTATCACACGAACCCTGTCACTTTCCCAATGGCTTCCACTAGAAAGTATGAAATGAGGTATTACTCAACCGTCTCCTCGGTATATGTTCACTTCATCTCAGTTCAATTCTAAATATTTATCTGGTAGTAGGTTTTCGATTGGTTCTGTACTACCATTCCTTTTTGCTTATCACTTTCAACTGGTCATCTGACCCTCGACCTCAAGAAAAGGCGTAAATTGAAGAAGCTTCGTAGCAGGCTATACAGGTGTTTTGGCTTCACTCAGGACAAGTCTCTGAATCATATCGAAACATTCACTGACACTAGGGCCTTGTTCCTTGTGCTAAGTGTAGTCGAAATGACGCTGGCAAGTTCAGGTAAATTTAAGGTACTACTTCCTTGGACTTCTCTGGCTGATGATGATCGCTACTTGTTGCTGTTGGCTGGCATCTCCGTCACCTTTTTCTTCCAAATGGTAACCTGGAATCCTGTCTTACTTGTCTTTTCACCCAGCTTGTTGGTTTTCGTTGATACAAGGACAGAACTTGTGCACTATGGTACAGTGTAATTCCATTGTGAGTTTACGCTCGTCAATCTACGACTCTATGTGAGATGAAGTGATCATCTAAGAAATCCACATCATCAATGATCTCTTCAATATCTCGACGTACGACCGTCTCTTTCACTATGCGGTTCACCAAAACCAGGAAGGCCATCGGTTTTAGTAGCCGACCTTACTTAACACCTGCTTTCACTCCAAAAGCCTTACTAAAATCGATGTTACAGATTACCTAGCATGTGGTATCACCATTATGTAACTGTCAAGTGAGATTTATAAAGGTTAGACACTTCATAGTTTTAGACGAGTTTCACAATTGTTCAAGCTCTCGGCAAACTTTACAAAGTCAATGAATTTTAGGTAGAGGGGTGGCTGCCCTCCTCTTCTTAATTTAATAATGATGCGTAGTATTGTAATTTGATCCATTCTTGATTTGATTTTCCTGAATCCATGGAATCTTTTAATCTCCTAAGTATGATACGACTCAATATTTTACCTGTAAAGGACAGACGCATGATGTCGTGTCAGTTCCGGCGATAGGTTAAGTCATCCTTCAATTTCAAGCTATCAAGGTAGCCCCCTTTTCGGTCTATTGGTGATACATTGCTTTTCTTTAGAACTTATAGCAGTGGCGTCATTGTATCCACTGAGGCCTCTGGTACCGCTTTCAGTGCTCCTAAAGGATTCTCTCAGGCCCTACTTTACTTCTGGGTCTCGGTAACATTATGGCCTTCGAAATATTTGCTCTTCTTGAAGGCTTGGTATACACTGGTAGTTTTGCACTTCCCAGTTACGGTATTTTTGGACACGTTTTATGCGTTGCTCACCTTTGCACCGGTTCATCTTCTGCCTCACCATTCTAATATTCATGAACGGAGGCACTCCGGATTAGGTTACTAAGTGTTTCTGAATATTTTCTTGTTGACTGATGGGAAAGTCCCTTTTTTCGCCTCATGTTTCAGTAACTGAAAATCAATTTTGAATTGTGGTCTTTCAGCTTGACCTGGGAGGCTCTTCGCATTGGATATGCTTTTGAATCAGCGACTGCTTTCCTTCCTCAGTGATTTGTCAAGTTCGTTGCTTCTGCACTTTCTGGATACTAAGATAGGGTTTGCCTAATTTTCGTTGTCTGTTTTGCGAAAAAGATGTCGCCTTGTATATCGCTGTGCTTGTATACGCTGCTTCCAATCACCAAATCAGCGAAGACAAAGAAGTCTGTAAGAAACTCTCATTAAGTTCACTGAACGCCTCTCGACCGATGGTTATTTCTGCTAACGTGTTTTCTGCTCCCAGTTTTTTCTTATATTCATGTCACCCACTGGAATTTTGATTCTGCCACTGGGCTGAAGTTCCTTCTACCCCTGTCTGCAACTGTTTGTCTTCACCACTTTTTCTAGGTCTATTTTTTAGAGTGCAATGCAATATGATCATAAACTCACCACCCTCCGCATGAGTCTTGCTTTCATGAATGATTTTGACTTCATGAGGACCTTCAGTGCTGTAGGTGACATAGTAATAGCCACACTCCCAATGAGCTTGTGGTTGCAGTCTGCGTGACGCAACCAATTAATTGACTCATCTGTTAACATTACATCTGCGATTACAGATTCCCGATATATCTGTATTAGATCTTCACATTTTTCGCAAAGTGAACGCTTTAGGCGATCTCAAACATTGTGTGTACGCTCCATTTCGCTATGCTCACTTTTGTTTCTCCGAAAAAATACAAATCAGTCAGCTGGCTTCCTGAAGGCCTTCACCGGCCACCATTAATTTGGTTAATTGATTCTGGTGAAAAATAATTTCAGTCTTATACTTGTTCTATGCTTTGTTGTCACTGTTGCACTGAAGTCATTGTTTATGGGTAGGGTTGAGCAAACCCCTGGGCAACCTTCTATCTTTTGTAAGCTTATCGTCGGCTAACGAAGTAGATGTGACCACTTTCCTTTCGTCTACTCTTCTCACAAAGTTTTAGCGAATATAGCATTTATTTGCAACACTTTTAGCCGATTTGATATTCCAGCTAGTGATATCTTGGCAGCAGCAATAAACTGGAAGCAGATTATACCATGATCGCTTTCCATCAGGGGTGGGAATTAATGCATAAAGTCCTCATCCTTAACATGGCGAAACCGATTTCAAGGATGAAGACATATAATGAAAATCAAAACGCATTAGTTTCTTGAGTACTTGAAGAGGGTCACTGAGATGTAAAATTCTACGAGTTTCTGTCGAAATAATTATCTGGTATAGTAGCTTTTCACTTGGAAAAATGTGAATGGTCAGTTCAAGGTCATTTCGCCGTGGTATCTGTCACTCTTGGTTGCCTGTCCCTTGTGGCTTTCAATGATGATAACATATACAACTACACGACAAATATAGATATTTATACTGTTTTTTCGGCACTATAAATCTTGGCAGATTGTAACGTACTCTTAGAATTGTCAGAACACAGAGGACAACTCTGCTCCATGTGGCGAATTTGACCAGATGTGCATGTTGCGTGAGGATAAACGTTATCGAGATATATTTTCGCGCACTGTATGGGTTATCGCGTTCACGCCTATAGAGGCGCTATAATGGTTCAGTTCTATGAAAATAGATTATATTTGACTAGTTTTAGGGTTCTGTAGCAGAAAAAAGATGTATTTTTATGTGTTCGTAATAATGGATAAAATTGTCTTGATATCCCAGACGATTTATTACTAAAAAAGTCATCCTTTATAAGAAATTTCGTATAGTAAGACTGTCTTTTGCGTTTAATAGCCTTAAGGCTTCGTTATTTGCTAGTTGTTTTAGATCTTAAGTTTGTAAATTCACTGCAGGCAGTGGTTGTTTTCATAAGAGTTATTCTATAAGAAAGTAAGAATAAAAGAGAAATAGCCCACAGAAATAAATTAGATGTACGTTTTGAGGATGTTCAACACTTTTATAATCATCCTTGATGATAGAAATCTTCCATAACGTATCGAAGAGATCATGCAGTGAATGAGACAAGCTGCTGAATTTCATGTTGATCATATCCACTTCGATGAAGTTCGTAGCTAAAATTGCTCAGGCGAAGATGTGAAAGTAGTTTAATCTACACTGTTACATAGAATTTTGGGAGACCGTAATTGTTCAGTGCATAACATGGAATCAGATTATGTTGATATGAGTGTGCATTGGGGCAAGAAGAATAGTACAGATGGTCCTCCTTAAATGTCAGATTGCTTAAATTAGTATCAGCTTTCTGTCGAATAGTAGCTAGCAGCTGTGTCCTACAACTACTACACCTGTTACGTAAGTTATATCACTCTTAATAATTATTCATTTTTATATCGCTAAGATATTCTGAGATCCTTAATGATTTACTTGTGGGTATGGAGGATATAGCAGGTGCACTTATGGTTCATATCTTTAAAGCATTCATCATTAAGCAAGTTACCTGTAGAAATTTCGTGGTGTTCAGGTTACAATGCTTGAGTGTGTGTAGTTACTGCATGCTATTGTGCGTGAAGGGACAGTTGATGAAAATGAAGACAGAATAAAGTTTCAGACATTTCGAACTCATTCTTGTGCTATCTCATCGCAAAACCTGCAGTAAATTGCGGTAAGCATCTGAATTGCATGTTTTTACTGTTTTGCCATATCCTTAGTGTGCAAAAACTTTGCTATTTTGCTACTCTCAAACCATTTTTACGAATTGTAACATGTCTTCCAA